AATACTCATCTCGTGGGCCCGAGAGCGAGACACCAACAGACTAGCTTTCCCTCGCAGACCTATGGCCACGTCTGCCATCTACGGGCCCGTGTCAAGCGCAAGTCATCTCTGAGCTGATCGAACACCGCGTCACTCACTCCTCTTGCGGTGTAAAGGAGGCCGCGCCAGGCTGAACTGAAAATGAGACAACAAACTACACCAGTGTTACTAACGAATACAATCCTGTTAGTAACACCCGCACTGGTTGACTCAACAACACTTGGGATAGTGACAATAGGTAATAAGGCTTCTGATCTCATCCATTTCAGCCTGAGGGCAGCGAGCCGTTTCATGCAACGGCTAATGGGCGAGCGAGATTCGTGCATACGTGCGCGAACAAGTATAGATGGGCAGCGTAACGTTTTTTTACGGTTTACGTTACGGTGTGCGTAACGTAAGCAGTTTACGGTTACGGAAAGGCCTTGCGACTTTACGGTTGATGCTGAACTGCTTTTTTAGAATTGTGGCGGAAAGATTCGCTGTAACGCACTCCGCGATAGCTCTCGTTCTATGCCTTCTCTCAATCCGACCCTGACTTTGAGGATGATAAGACCTTCCATACTTTACCTTAGCCGCACCAAGCCTTTGCGCTAGTTGCTGCATCACATAATATCCAAGAACACTACCACGATCAGTCTTGATGTAGCTTTGTAGACCCAGGGAAGTAAGCATCTTTCTACTGCTTCAGTCACACTGGAAGCATCTTCCCTGTAAATACTCTGTCTTCAACCCACTTTGTAAACGTATCAGAAGCAGTAACCAGTATCGAGCTACCAGAAGCATCCATCGGCATCTTGAGGACATCTACTACAACTACTTCCCACGGACTACCAATCTCAGTTTGAGCCAACTGCTGAAATACTGGAGTTTGTGCTTGAGCTGCAATACAGTATTTACAAGTTACACAAAAACGTTGAACATCTTGGTCCACCGTCAACCAATAAATCTTCGTACGTAGACGGCCAACAAAACTATCCCAAGACACATGACTACCAGTAGGATGTGAGTGTTCATGTCGAAGAACTTGAAGACGAAGGTTACAGTTACCTTACAATAGCCAAGCAGTGGATAAGTAGCAGAGTAAACCATCCTTAATACACGATTGCTCCCATATTTCGCGATAACCAGTAGGTAAATACCGTGCACATGGGAGTCCATCTCTTACCATGGTATAGATATCTCGCAACTCATCATCACGTTGTTGATGATGAAAAAGTTTACCAAAATAGATAAATGGCGAATTATACGTAGCACCAATGGTAGCCTATTGCAGAGTTTTAAGTTGATGTTCTTCAATTATCCATCTAGGTGGGACTCTACAGAGCACATCTGCTAAGTTGGATGATGTCCCAATCCACTCCACATACGTTAATATGTTTGTTATCCGACTTGGATCTAAGCTTAGTGCTGTCCTCAATAATATACTCGTCATTGAGCAATACATACTATGTATTGCACATGTATTACATAGCCAGTAGCAATGGCCGAACCAGCGGTATAGAGGATAAACGGTTTACTGAAATCAATAAACCATCCACCATGTGCTGTATCTCTCTCACGCTGAATACGTGAAGCTACTTCACGAGCCCAAGACCTAACTTTGTCACGTACGGGCCTGCGGAGCCATGCTAGACACGGACGCAACCATGACAACACTAGATAATGGCTTATTCGTTCGGCACTCCAGGACAACAGCTCCCGTGAAGTAAACGTGCTCTCCAACAGCAAGTCAATATGTTGACCACTACGACGCTTTCAATATAAAACATCGTCAGAGCCAACTACCAACTGTAAACCAAGCGCACGAGCTCTAGCCAAATCCTCAGGAGACTTAGTTGGAAGTTTATGCAAGAGATTTTGTTGTATACGACTCAACCGATTAGGATCTTCCAAAAAAAGCCAACAAATATAACATCGAGATAAGCATCAGCAACTTCGCCGCAAGGGAAGCCTTCATTATTAGCTGCACGGTTTTTGGATCTATATGAAGTCCACAACCCATATCCATATCACACAGGCAATAACACCTATTACGCCAGATTGCACATAACCAGGCCACAACTTGGGAGGTATCGCCACATTCTCGGGAATTCCCGGGAATTAGAGGAATGGCTCATTCTTTTCACTTTTCGGCCAGCCTGGCATTTTCCCAGCAAGATTGGTTATGGAAGGAGTTGTCCGTTTCAGGACTAGTCTATCGAGTGACTGCAGCGACTAGTCTATCGATCGATACTCTAGAGTCGAGAGCCAATGCAAATAGCTCACCCACTCGTCCGAGATCCGACCGAAATTATTGTTGTTCGGTGATGGGGAACGTCGTTGCCGCAACGACCATAATGGCCGGGATTACACATGGACTGAACTCATAATGAGTTCAGTCCATGTTACTGTGCTAATCCATGAGTATTTTCTCCACACCTGTAATGAGTTACTCATTACAGGTGTGGAGAAAATACTAAGTCCAGCAATCGGGTGATCGACTCTATCTAATAATGAGGTATGATCAAATCTGTTTAATAATACGGGTAGCCGTACTATGGCCGGGATAGCTAGTCCCGAGCGAGAACACGTGCCGTCGGTGTCGACTGCAGCGTACTGTTGAAAGAAACACACGATAAACTGGCCCGCGGTGTCGGGCCAAAGAACACGACCCACAAGAATAGTTTACGGCTATTCATAGCTTATTCTGAAGCACCTTTGACTGCCTGTGCTAGATAATCTAACTCAGATACTATCTGACAGATAGCCAGCTGTGCAATTGGGCTGAAACTCGATAAAGTTCCCCACAAGCATAAGATCAGGGAATACCCAACGGTTTTCAGCCTCTCGTTTGAGTGAGATGACAGCCTTGAAATGCGTCATCTTAAGTGGGGCATCTCCCTTGGGACCCAGTCCAAATACCAAATTTGGCATGAAGTCAATGAACCTACAACGGAATGTCCAAATTTCCAGCGCGTCATCGAAGGTAAGCTCGACTTCGGTCTTCGCGGCCACGCTAGCTTACGCGCCGATATCCGCTATATTATCATGATAGTAAAACTTGGCAGCCGTCATCGATGCCAAGACGTACATGCGCAGAGCCGACTTGCAGGTTGCGGAGCCCCACGGTGGGGCCCCCACCACATTTTCCCTTGGAGAAGGGGCACGTATTACGTGCCACGTAATGAATAGGATGCTTGTAAACACCCTTGTCGCCTCCATCCAGCAGGAATTTACGAGTGAATTGCGCTTTTTCTTGATGACTCTTTGGTTCTTTTAAATAGAGACTCTATTATAGAGTGCAACAGTGCTGCTTCGCATTTTTCAGAAGATCGCAGCTGTTGCATCGGCGAAAGGGAGCCTTTTCACCCGGATGGGGTCCAAGACTACACAAGCTGATCGTAACATCCTCATCGGGAGGGTGTTGATGAAATATCAATCCGAATGTCAGGTCGATCAAGTCGGCAGAGCCGAGGGATATTTTTCCTCTGTGCTCCTTCCTCGAACTCAAATGACATCATCGGCTTAAGCGGGGTACACGGCTTTGAACAGCTATAACAATGTTATAATAACATCCGACTGGCTACTCGTGACAACTTTCGCCAGTAGTCTTCTCAAACCAATCCTGCCAAACAAGGAAGAAGTAATCGCTCCCAGTATCAACAACAGCATGCATAGACTGATGACGTCCGTCACAAATGCATGATACAGCCCAAATCCATATGGAGATAAAACATAATAGGCTATATCTAGCGTGATAACTTGTCCATTGGCACTTGGCTGTACCGCGAAGCACGAGAGGAACAGCAGAACGATGCGACGATCCATTGAACGCTTGAAATATCTGGCTACTGTTGTCGTTAGTGTTGTTGTGACAACACTAACTAACAGTTTGTTACAACAATGTTGGCGCTGTTGCAAATCGCGTAAGGAACTAAACTTATCAGCGAGCTCTGACACTTCACGGAGGCTTTTAAGGCTTCCTGCACACAACATTGTGCGTCACCTTCACGCACAAATCACATCAACCTGACGATGTGGTCATCCTTCCCATGTAAAACGCGAATTGGGAATACTCGGAGAACTACATCGGACAAATCAGCCCATTTTACGTGAAGCACATCACGTTTTACGTGATATCCACTGACCACATGCATGTTTCGCGAAGTGGAATGTAAAATGTGGTTTGCACATGATGTGAATCATATCACGGGTTAAATATCCCGCTCCTGGACGCGTGGGTCTAGTAGGCTGAAAGACACTGTGGCTTCCAGCCCTCGAAGCATCGAGTTAGTCCGACGAGCGCCTCTGCTGGCGCCGCGCAGGTTGTGCTACGGTGCCAGCCTACGATGCGCTGCGCTGCGGTGCCAGCCTGCGATGCGACGCCGCGCACGGTCGACCAACCGATGCTTGCTACCGGGAGTGGCGGGCTGGGTTGAAAGAAATCATACACGGCATACGCTCCTCGTTTCGTAGAACTTCGGTGATGTCATGAGCAGTAGGGAGCTGGCGATGGTGCCTGAGAAACTTCGATGGATGACCGTCAAGCTGACGGTCTGAAAATCCTGACGGCGTCAGGATATTCAGAGATTATCTCCTGACGCCGTCATACAATAAACAATATTTCAATATTTCATACGGTATCAATCATTTCTACCGTATGCCAAGCAAGTCGTTTGAAACAACGAGGATGAGTCATCTTCGACAACTGTACCGGAAATTTACTGGGCAAAATGGAACTTCACTGAACGGAGACTTGCGAGCCGCTGAGACGCGGCTGCAGCAGGACGCATGTTGGCGGCAGAGAGCTAGCGAGTGACCGTGTCGCACCCAAGATGAGCGAGAAGAAGAAGACAAGCAGTAATCATATCACTGAGTATCTACCAGGTAGATACCACAGGGTGGCATACCACCGCAGTTCCACCAGAGTGGTATGATTTCCTAGCGCTATTGTGATTATCCTCGGAGACTCCGAGTCGGAGTGATTCACCCCGTGCTATGTCGTTTTTCACGAGTCTTCCCCGAGTCAGTGAGACACTGTGTTATCTACGAGCAAGAGCCATAACGAGCTTAGAGTGTGATACATAACTACACCATCATTCCAACACTACCGAGGCAGGCAAAATTTCTACTACGAAACTCCGCACACTTGACAGACTCTATGGAGAAGAGTTGACCCCGTTGTGCCTAGTTGAACAAAGTAAATCAGTCATTATCGGAACCGTTGGAGCTAGATCAACCTCACAGCTCAGACATTACCAAAATCCACATAACTCGCCACTTTTAGAGTTTACATAGGACTCCGCTGAGTGGCTGGAAGTCGGCCTGTCGGATGCTGTGATCGATACCATTCCGCTACTATCAGGAACTTCCTGGAGGAGAATAAGGTAGAGAGCTCTGGAACTACCCCCATATTATATGGGCCATATATACACCTCGGTCATTCCAGAGGTCAATTTAGGATTTTACTTCTCAGAGGAAACGATCGGAGCGTCTCTGACTGAGACCCTGATCATGGGAGATGCTGAATAGCTTGCTCAAGAGGCTCACGATGAGCCGCTTACCTCGAAATTTGAAGATCTATTAGATCCGATCTACATGGAGATGGATCCTAGGGGCAGAGTTTCGATCAATCTTAGGATTCGATCTCTCAGTGCCCGATGTAATGCATATCATCTGTTCATTTCTTTCTCTCATCTCTCTGCCTTGTCGAGAGAGTCAGGTGGCGAAATATTTACTATTTAAATATATGACATGGTTGTCTCACAATCAATGTTGGACACATCTCAGTAATCCGCGCTCCTTTACTCAATATGCCATCAAGCCTCCCCAGTATGTCATCAAGTGTCCTCAATATGCCATCAGGTCTCCTCACTCAGCAAAACACAACAGGGTCGCTTGATTGATAGTCTAACAGCTCCAAAGTCAAATAGTTAAGGATTTCTATTCATCGAGTCTACAATATAGCTGCGAGCAACTCCCGGCTTGTAGCATAAGTGTTGGACTCCATGTTCGATCAACTTCCATCTGGAGCGATTCCATGACATGAGAAAGTAATATGCCGTGTCTCGAAATATTATGGATATGATGAAGGGACTCGTGGCGACTCGAAGACTCCACTCATCTCGCATCGATAAAAAAACGTAGCATAGAAATTACGAAGCTTAAGTGGTTGAGTGTCCGGACATCAAGGCAACGCACTAGCGAAGGTGTGCTTTTAATGTTCGCTCGTCCCAGAATGTGCTGAATATAGAATCTCAGGCACCTATGGCGAACCAAGACGAATCATCCACAAAGCCTCGTTGAAAGAAGCTGAGGGGATTTTACTTCAACACGATCCTCTCCTTAAGGAAGGTCGCCGGGAAGTTCAACTTGAGAAATAAAGTACTGACGAAGGCCCTCGCTTCACCCTTGAGGTCCCACACGCTGTTATTGGCCTTAAGAGTATCCAAGGTCAGAGAGAGGGAAGCACCAACAGAACCCAACTTGAGCTTCTTGGTGACCGATGTTGTCACGTTGAAGCCCATATTCCCAGCATCTGTAGCGTACACATAGCTACTGGCAGTGGGTACATGCTCCATGTCTAAAGTTAGGTAGCCGAGAACATAGACTCTGAAGTGAGGATTACCCACGATGTTCTTCTCCAAGCGGCCGAGTAGCCCAGGCTTGGGGGATTCCACATCAGAAGTCCCCAAGGTTAGGGCTCCGCCAAGTCTTTTTTTGTTACCAAAAGCTACAACCTCTGCCTCACCGCCGGCGTGCGCTTGCAGACTTTTCGCTGTCTTGCCCTCGAACTCGGCTGTGAGACCCATAATAACATTGTCCTGTGGGTCAGTGATATCAAAGAGATCAACAATGGCTGTCACTTCCTTCTCAGTACCAGTTGTAATGCGCTTGCCGTGGAAGCAGTAGTACTTGTTTTCCGGGCGCGTCTCCGGGTCACAACCCGGCGGATATGAGAAGCTACCATCATCCGAAACTGTTGCTATTTGAGGACCTTCATCATATGAGGCAATACGCTCCTCATCTTGCTTGATGAAATCGGCCTCCAGCTCCTTCAGTAGGTTGATTAGCTCTGGTGTGAGCTCTGGGTTGTCGATGCTACCGAAAAGGGGCTTCTCATTACCCCTCGAACGGCCGAGCACCACGCCTTCAGCAAGCGAGATGAGGGCTATCGTAGCTACAGAGATCCTGACGAACATTGGTGGAGGAGTGGATGAAGCTGAGGCAAACATGTTCAGTATGATACTGACACTATCTCTGCCAGTCGATTCGAGTCTCATAACGTGAGTTGGGCTTTGAGGTTTTCACGATTTCACGTGATGACGCGGACGCACAAGGTTTGTGCTGGAATGTCTGATGATTTGTTTCACGCGCAATGAAAGATTGATTCGATTACTTGAAACTAGGTTCCTAGTCTTGAAGTGACACAATGATGCAGAGTGGTGATACAACGGTGAATCTGAACTTACGTTCAGGAGTGGCGGGCTAGGATATTCGTATTAAACTGATATGTTTGGTTGCGCATGCAGCGTATGTGCTTGGAACGTTTTTGGTCTATTACACGCGCTATCGGCATTGCATCGTCGAACCACGGCCTGCATGTGATGAAAAGGTCCTGCGGACCTAGATGCCTATCGTTATTTGCTACTCATGCAAACGATCACGATGGGCGAGCAGGAGACCCATCCGGTTCAGCAATGAATTCGTTGGGATCCTTCCATGGAATGCCACGTAGCCACGGGGATATTTCCCCACGTCATTCTGAATCACGTCGTGATGATAGTCACGTCTGCACGTGAATCACTGATTCACGTATGGCACGGGCTTGTTCGCGCACGTATGCACGAATCTCGCTCGCCCATAAGCCGTTGCATGAAACGGCTCGCTGCCCTCAGGCTGAAATGGATGAGATCAGAAGCCTTATAACCTATTATCACTATCCCAAGTGTTGTTGAGTCAACCAGTGCGGGTGTTACTAACAGGATTGTATTGTTGATTATCTTGGTTCCGTCAACGAATACTCTATCAGAAGCAGTCCTTGTGACAAGGAGCTACTCTACGCAGCCAATCGATACATCCTTTGCAAGCTCACTGTGGGAATCTTACGTGCCGGGTAACGAAAACAAGATGAGTGTTACTGTAACATAATGTAACTAACATTGTTATTACGTAACATCGCACGCCCACTGCCAGCCGCCTGCGTACGGCTCGTCAAGCTATGCGTGGCGTGAGTCACGCCGTGTTTCAAACGGCTCACGACTGCCAGGCTACCAGCCCTTGTACACACGCGTCGGCTCACGCAAATCCCCGCGTTCTATCCCCACTCGCGCCTGACAAGCCGGCAAGGCTCAGCTACATGAGCAAGCTGCGGAGGACACGCCGCCTGTTATAGTAGTGCTCGAATTCCCAAGCCAGAAGCCCTATTGCTCGGCGAATAGGAGATACGATCTGGCCAAGGATCTCTGGGTGTCTGATTTTAGCTTCGTTGTTACCAAGAATGAAAATCTTTTTGATATCCGCTATCGTGATTATAAATGCTGTCATTTGGGAAGGATGCAGCAGCAACGGTGGGTCGAATACTCTGACACAAGGTCCCTAGGCCTTCCGTTTCAGGTGGTGGAACAACTACAGCCTCTCCTGCCACTACAGCCTCTCCTGCCACTACAGCTCCTCGCACTACTCACCGTCCTGGGCCTACTACAACTCGTGGGCCGACTCTCTCTCCAGGACCACCCCCTATTGGCACTTTCTTACTCGATGCGACCGTGCCCCTTGTTGGCTCTGTAACAGGCAGGCTCGCTACCTCTGATGCCGACCCTAAAAATCTTGTTATTACAACAATGTACGCTCATCTACCTCATTAAATGTCGCCTTCTTCACTCGCTTACAGCGTTCTCAATAGCAGAAGTGCCTACCGTGCCTTCATGCCCTCCGCAAAGCCCAACATTGGTTACTACTCGATTCTGGGTTTAATTCTCAGGTTCATCCAGACGAAGTCTACGCCTCCAAGTGTACTTTTCAACAACACATCGCCCGTGCCGTTCCACATGGAAGGAGCTAGAGTTGTTCTGGACGATACCAGCAGCTTCCCACCTACGGCTCGTGCAGCCATTGATAGTAATCTTTAAAAACACTCGCTCGAGCTCCATCAGTGCTAATGTGGTATCACTTTTTCACGAGACCGAGTACATAGCACTCATGGCATTGAATTGCTCATTGAATCATCTTTGGTCAGGTGCCGTTATCACATACCTGCCCCCCGATGACATTCAGATTAACATTACTCAACCAGCTCAATTGTCTGTCACATTACATCGTGCTCCACCTTAAAGGCTCATCTTGGATATCTGAGCGCAGCTTCAGTTCGGGCTGTTGCGTTATAATAAGGTTAAAAAGTCAACAGAGAGCGAATACCGATGACGAGCGAGACCATCGCACACAGAAACGCAGCGCCGCTGAGGCAGTGATCCTGAAGGAGCTTCTCGGCCATCCCAGCCTCCGACCTCCACACAGACTGCTAGAAAATGCTATTAGAAAACTGATCAAGTCCAGCGTAGGGCTAGGAAATGGTTCTTGAGTGACGCACGTATACTGAAGAAAGCCGTAAGTCCTTCAGCTTCTATCGGTGACAAGTTGGATTGGATGAGCTCATGAGTTTTCGACTATCCGTAGACCATTGATAGGCGTCGCCGCGATGCCATCGCGAGAGTAGTCCTTGACTATGACAGCAAAGTTCGACTGGATTTTCTTTTCGCCACTTTTGGATGAGTGATAAATTTGTCATCAAGCGAAGTCCTGAGGGCTCACAGGGCACCAGAAGTAGTCAGTCTATGCTCGGGATCTCAGAGACACTGCTGTACAATGCCTCTCGGAATGGGAGCTCATTTACGGTGGAAAGGACTATGCGGCACCACCAGAGGTGAATGACGCCGTACTGGGGCGACCTGACTTGCCTCTGCTCGACCAGTCTCTGTTGGCTCATTACGCTCAAGAGACCGAGATGCAGTACCGGATAGCAGACATCTTCGAAGGCTATCAGAAGCGGTGCAGGAAGAGCGCTTGCTTGTTGAATGGAAAAGGGTAAGCTCGACTGCCCTGAAGGGATTGCCTTCCAAATCAATTTTGATCGTGATACGTTCTTTTGTGTGCGCCCGTGTTCGAAAATATATTCAGTCCATGAAAAGTGAGGAATTTACACGTTGCTTGAAGAGAAAGTGTTCGAAAACCAACGAGACTTCCCAAAAAACCCCTCCGGATCTCTTTATTGTCGTCAACACGTGCAGTTGGTCACGTGCGTATTCTCCATCACTAACATGGCTGATCGAGGCGGTATCAGGTTGTGGAGATCCTGAAGAGCGCTGAGATGACTGATATCGACCATTCTATCACGCGCATTGATAATGCGTTGCGAATGCTGTCCCCCACGAGCTTGGATGAGATCTCCAATGAGATAGACCTCGACGCTGAGTTCGCCAAAGAGGAAGAAGACAGCGCTCCAGCTGTCGGAAATTCCGAGGGCTTCTCCAGTAGCAGCACTTGGGTACCGGACCGGAACGTTACTATCAGAAGTGAGCCCTGGAGGCTCCAGGCTGGAGCGCCGTATTTGAATGTTTCTATCAATGAGCAGTTTGTTGTCTCGTTTTCAGTTCAGCCTGGCGCGGCCTCCTTTACACCGCAAGAGCGAACAGGAGTGAATGTCGCGGTGTTCGATCAGCTCAGAGATGACCTGCGTTTGACACGGGCCCGTAGATGGCAGACGTGGCCATCAACGAGACGTTGTGACTGAGGTTGTCGACTCACAAGATCTCCGAGGGAAAAGCTTGTCTGATGGTGTCTCGCTGTCGGGCCCACAAGGTGAGTATTCCGTGCTACGTGATGGGACTCCCATCACGTCTGAACAAGAGCTCCCATCATGGGAGCTCTTGTTTATTTTAGTCTAGCATGGCTCGAGCATAAGCGCCCCGAGCTGGATCGAGTGGTGGGTCGTGAGTTGATCTCAACCTTCAATCCCACGCATACATCAGCAGGAGCCTCCAAACGACAGGTAACGGAGTCAGCTGTTACTAACAGCCTGTCGGTTTGGGAAGCACCATCCCAAATCAGCATGCAGCATGCTGATAGCAACGGAGAAGATCCGATGGTGTAGTGATGATGATGCGATGGTCAATGGTGGACTGCATCGCCAGTTCTGCTACCACCATTGATAACGGTAGACAGCGAAGTA